TGAGAGTTCACCTCTACATCAAGACAAACCCTCCATGCGAAGATAGGGAGCAAATACATTAGCAGGGTTGCCGTATTTTCAGTTTTGGAGTCCCCAAATAAAGTGGCAGCCCTGTCAATGTATTTGCTCCCTATCTTTGCATGGAGAGTTCGTCTTGATGTACACGTGCACTCTCAGGATAGCGTGGGATATCCCCTCCATTTTGGCCTCAACTTGAGAGCTTTTTCTGAGCTTGGGAGTTGATTTTAGAGAAAACCAGTGGCACCATCGTGTTTCTTGCGAACTTTTACATCAGAATCAACAGTCAAATCGCAAACTCCTCACACATGCAACGTCTCCATTAAAGGATAAATATCAAATTAACCTGAATGCATCAATCACCAGTTGACCCATTCGTTAACACATAAATTAATGTTGAATGGTGCCATTCTCAGATGTGATATTTGTTCATTCTTTTCTTTCTCCACACACTTACACAGTTTCTTGTGCAAGGAACTATGCGCCTCGCTTGCCTGCTTTCACACTTTTCCCTCTTTTTTGGCGCACCATCACATATGTCTATCACATTTGCTCCACAATCGACCGATCGAGCACTTTCTGCACCCCTGCTTTAAAGGTCTAGCTGTGTTCGGAAGAGGTATTTTAGAAAGCAAGGCTGAAGCATACTTCTTTGAAAAATAATTTTGAAAAATTGTAATCCTTCACTGAATATCCTTAAATTGAAGAAATTTCAAACTGTAACCAGACTCATAGTCTTGAGACGAGATCTAATCTCAGGTTCAAATAATGTACAAAAATAAGCACGACAAACAACAACTTGAAAAGATATTACTCACCTGCTCAGCAAGTTTACTCGGAACATTGGCCTGTGCAGATTTCAGCAGATTTGCCAGCTCGTCTTTTTCTCGCTGCAGGTTTGCGATCTGTACTTCAAGCTCCTTGACATTATTTTCTTCTTCTAAGTGGTTGATCTGCTTGGATGACGCTGTTAAGGTGGATGCCAACTCCATCTTCTTGGCAAGCTGATTGTTGAGATCCCTGAGCTCTTTATTTAGTTGGGCTTGGTTCATTATTAGCTCTTCATGAACCCGATCATCGACATCATCTACATTTTGCCCACATAGGCTGTCATTTTGGTCAAAAGTAGACTGGTACTTGGAGCTATCTCCTGAGATCTCGTGTTTCACGATCTCTTCTTCCGACCTCCGTTGTTCGGCCTGAAAATTGAATTGTTTTCCGTAAGGGTCATGCAAAAAATGACTTCTGAGTGATAAACAAACAATGTTGCGAATTGTTCTATTGAATTTCTCGGTTCGAAAACGACCCATCTCGGAAAAATGAAATTTTCCGGGAGTTGATAAAAACTACGTACCAGCCAGAAAAGGAGTGTTTCTGCGCAAAAAATTAGCATCGTAAAAAACCCAAGTTGAGTCGTTTTCGAACTTAGAGATTCAATTATTTTCAGTCCAATTATTAAAAAAACGTTTAAAGTTGCTTCATGAACAGTGAAGTTAAATTTCTCGCTCACGACAAAACCATAATCAACTTCCGGAAAATTAGGCAAGAAAACAAATTTAACGCCAGGCAAATGACTAGAGCTTGGTAGAACACATCTCCTTCTTCTCTGAGTAGTAAGTATTTTCAATTTTTGTTAAAAAAAAAAAAAAAAAAAAAAAAAAAAAAAAAAGGTTATCAGAAAAATTTATTCATTGTAAAACATACCAAAATTAGTTTAGTGCTCAATTTGACTAGAGTAGACTTTGGTTTTTTTCTAAGAAAAAGTAAATTAGCAGGGACGAAACCTGTCATTTTCCAACTTAAGAGTTGAGTTTGGAAAGTTACAACACAATCATTGTATTCTTTGTAAAATGTCGATAGGAAACAGAAAACATATAGTGCAGTTCTTAATTTTGTAGTACATTACTTCAGTGTTTCACAATTGAACAGACAAAAACTCTGCTTCGCAAGATAAACAACTTTTCTGCATCTTCCTTAATAATGCAAAATATAAATTTGAATTGTATGCATTTTGTTCTTAATAAAGGTAAGGATGAGTTTTAAAATCTTTGAGACATCACTTTGACCTCTACCGACTGGTTAGAAAAGTCTTAAAGTGGACTTCATTTTACACTAGAGAGCTACTATTATGGGCTCAACCATAAATCACGTATTTAAATTGGAAAACCAATGACAAGAGTGCTGTTTTTTACATTAGCCAGAAATAGTAAGTATGTATTGTATGTGTGATGCGTTTCAAGTTTATACAAGGTTGATTTACCTGAAGTTCCCCGAGGGTTTGCTTAAAGTTGAGAAAAGCTATCTTCTGCTCCTCGCCCAATGAACCAACAATGTCTTCCACCTGTTGCCAAGCATCATGTACACTGCTGATTTTGTCCCTGATTCGGTCACGAGCTGCCTCAGCCTATGGAGAAGAATAAAAATGAAGGTTTGAGAAGGTAGAATAAGGCCGGAGTTTTAAACGATATTTAACCATTGAGTGCTCAATCAGGAAACAATATGTAAACAGGGTTTCCACGATTTTTTCATTTGCCGATTCCCTCACTTTTTTGCTTCTTCAGTCCCCAAAATTTCTACATTTCCTAACCTTGAATCAAAACCTCCACTAAGATTGATTATCTTTTAAACGGGCTCACTTTTGCTTAACTATTCTCAGATATTGTTCGCACTTTTTTGAATACTCAAATCACCAGCTGAAGTTGCTGAGCCGACAAAATTCTCGTAAAGTTCCCTGACTTCTTCAAGTCCCTGTCCATTCCCTGAGGAGGCAGGTAATTTTTGGAGAGACAGAGAAAGCGCTAAGTTTCTAAATGGCCTTCTTTCGTAAAACCCATTAAAATATTGAACACCACCTTACCATTCATGAGTGATAAGCACTGATAATACATCATGAGACAACTTAGCTTTATTCAGCTCCAAAATATGCTGGAATTTCATGGTGCCACGAAATGACATAGAAGTTTGCACATTTTACATTACTTAATCAGAATTTTTCGAAAAAATATGACAACCACGATTCCGACAAATAAGCTGAGCATTAGTTTGTTTACGTTCGTGGTACCGAGTTATGAATTCGCTTTTCTTGTACAGTATTTCAACTGTCAGTTTTCTCCGAACTTGCATCAAGTTTTCCCCAAAATTACACTTTTTGAACGGTTAACTTGAGGCCAGTAAATATTTGAAGGGAGTTAACCATTATTACCCTTGCTACATCAAATGATGACTAATTTTCTACCATAAGTCATTTCGTAAACAGAATACTAATCAACACTGAGACTTGAATGTGAGCATATTTTTCACAATTTCGGATTAACTCACAAAAAGATTCGAGGCTTGAGGTAGCTTAGTGATCTGTTAGAAAAATAGAATGAGGAAGAAAAGTAGACAATGTGAAATGCAATTAAGGTGATTCGTCAAGCTCAAAAGAAGTGGTCGAACTGGCATGCAATATATCGCATCTTTTAGGTAAAAAATCTCGGCAGAATTTGAATCTTAAGCAAAAAAAAGGACGATAGCCCCTGTGCATGAGCCTATAGAATCATTCTAAACCCAAAAATCAGCAAAATGCAGAGAAATGAAAGCAGGATAGTGTTTGGAAAAAAACCTCGCATTCAATTCAGCTTTCGATTTCTGTATCGAATGCGAGGTATTTTTCCAAACACTATTCTGCTTTCATTTCTCTGAATTTGCCGATTTTTGGGTTTAAAATGATTCTTTAGGCTCATGCGCAAGGGCGATAGCCCTGTTTTTTGTTGAAAATTCAAAATCTGCCGAGATTTTTTACCAGAAAGATGCGATATATCCCATGTCAGTCTGACCATTTCTTTTGCGCTTGATGAATCACCTTAAGCAAATTCCCGTTAAACATCCGTTCCAGGACTTTGTACAGCGAGCTTCATGCGGTCATGCCACATTACTGAGACCTCAATTTTCAGTGTTAGATGGCTAAGGTCCCTCTTTAACAATCCCAAACGATAAAATACTAGAAATTCGAAAGGAGCTTTCCTATTATTGAAGCCTGACCAGTTTGGCTCCTCAGATCACTGAAATTCTTCCTTTCTTTTAACTTACCATTTGAGCTCTTTCGAATAGATTAGTGCTCTGTAGAATGGCGTCATTTAAAGCCTCTGCCAGGATTTTATTCTTGTCGATGAGGATTTTCATGTCTGACCTCAGATTGGAATGCTCAGGCGGGCAGGAAGAGCCGTTCAAAGCTTTGGCTTGAATGAGCTCATGACGCAGTTGTTGTATCTGAAATTAATTTTGAAAATAAAGATGATATAAATAATGTCTAAGTTTTTTTGTGAAAGCACTTCAAATGCTAAATATAAAAAACTTGCTTTTCAATACTTGACAGGGTTGCCACAAAATTAGGAAGATGAATTACCCTGCTATTTTTAAGTGAAATTCCCTGGCATTTCAAGATATATCAAATGAGTAAAAAGAGCTAAAAAAACACCTTTTCCAGACCCGAGCATGCAACTGTTTGAAAACAACGAACACATTCTGAAAGGTGAATAAAGGTGATAGAACAATATTTCCTTGGCTAAAGATTCAGAATAAAATTCATCTGGATTTGGTATCACAAAACTAATCCTCCGCTAAAGTCTATCCATCTGACAGAGAGGTTCTTTGTGCAAATCATCCTGTGCCTGCAGATCTATTTTACACAATACTACAGAGAGAAATGGTTTATTTATTTATTTATTTTTTACCAATGTCAAATAGCCTATTGGCTAATCCCACGCTTATTATCCCAGCCCCAGGTGACCATTGCCTGAGACCATCAAACTCAGATCACCTGGCCGGGAATCGAACCCGGGACCTCTTGGTCATAGGGCCAGCGCTACAACCACTACACAACAGGAGGCCGACAAATGATGGTGGCCTGTTTTGATTTAGTGACCGTTTGGTGAATCAATTGATCATGTCATTCAGGAAGTCACAATGAAGTTTCTGATTTTCAGAATAACAGCGCTTGATAAGACAGAGTGGATTGAAATTTTGCGTCAGGAGGATAAAATATGCTGCCTGACACTGAGGAAACTGCTTGAAACCTGCTAGGTAAAACACTTTTGATGATTTTCTACTAAAGTGTCTTCTTTTTGGTTTAGTTTTCTTTGACAAGGGCATAGTAAAAGCCATCAGTGGAATGACCACCATGCCTTGTTTCTGCTCTATAGCTTCAAGTCGTTCATTGGTGTTTTTGCATGCCTTGAGTACTAGCGATTTAAGTACTATTTTTTACATGTAATTCTGCAAGAACCACAATGGTGCAGCTGGACCTTGGATCTCTCTGAAATGGGATCCAAAGCTGGTACTGAACTTACCTCTTTTTTCAAGCTACCGATTTCAGCAACTGTAGGGTCAGTATTAATGATCGGCTTATTTTTGATGCGTCTGGCACGATCAGCATAGCGCAGAGTGCTTATAGTCTCATCTTTGTTGAAGGCAGCTGGGCTTACACACGCAATCATCATCGTTACTGAATTTCCACCCAGAGAATCTGTTCAGAAAATATCGAGTCAATGATGATGAGAAAGCATAATTAACTTTTCATAGCAACATAGTAATATTTTTCGAGGGATTGGGTTGAGTTTCGGTTACAGTGACAAGTTCATACAGTAAGATACATTTGATGCAAAGCCTTCAATTTCAGCCGCATGTATATGCTGTTTCTTTTTGCCTGTTTAATTACCCAAGGACCCAAACTTGTGACGGATCATCAGATTTAGCACAAAGGAACGTATCTTGTTTGTTCTGTTTCAGTATTTTTAATGCAATTTCGTCTTATCATGGGAGAACCATCTCACGAATTCATCAGAAAATTTTGTAGTCTTTTTTCACAAGTGTTAAGAGAAATCACTGCAAATTTCAGTGACAGTTCTTAAAAGAAATAAAATGTTCAGGAGAAACACCGAATCAGCGCAACTTGGATATATTCCTTCATGCGACAGACAAGGAGATATGAAAGATCATGGCTCAACAGTTCTTGGCATTTCGGCCCTTTTGTAAATGAACGGTTCAATTGTCATTGCCAGAAGAACTAAATATTAACTGCAAAGTAAGAATTCAATTAATTATAACACACATGCAAGCTCTCAATGATAGCTAACCATTCAGTGAAGCAATTGGTATTGCGGAGCTATGATGTAGTTTTTTCAAGTAGAGTTCTATTTAGACAATACAGGTGCACGACACACACCAAGTGTATAGAGTTAGCATAACACTATCACACAACCTGAGGAAAAAAGGCTAAGACTGAAGCAAAAAAAGTCAAGACATTTCGCTAATATTCTCAGGAATTTTCAATTGAAAAAAGAAAAAATAAAGAGAAAAATTTGAAAAGGTCCAAATAAAATGTTGATCATAGGAATTATACAACTGATAGTAGATGCAGTAAAATTACTGTCAAAATAGGTGAATATAAATTATAATTCCGATTTTTTGATAACTAACAGCACCGGCTATAAATAATATGGCTTCAGTTTTCCTCTATTTATTCATTTCGATTCATAAAAATATCAGTGTTAATAATACAAAGATGTATACCATTCAAAACTACAGCTGTTATGATAATAAGTTGATCATCGAATTCAAATTATGCATTTATTGGAATAGTTCAAACAATTTTAAAGATGATTTCATATGAAAGGACTACGTGCAAAACGGGCCATTTGGGGCTCGGGGCGGATACCTTTGAGACTTGCCCTATTCATTCACCTAACAATGCCCCATCTTTTCCCAAAGTTTCAAGCCCCCCAAAAATTTTGGGGAGACGCGGCGGGGGGTCAAAGTTAAAAACCGGCAAAATTTTCGCGAATTTATTACTCGAAAACCAAGAAGTTTTCGTAAACGCGGTTTAAACGAGCGTTTTCAGCGTGACGAGAGCTTTCAGAAAATGTATAACATCATAGGGTTTTGTCAACTTCAGCTCGAGTTATCACCTCCAAAGCGCCGGAACGCTCAAAAGAGACCCCTTATTTTTTCACGTTTGGGCCGATTTAAAAAAAAGCCATTTTTTTAATTTCATGAAAAACTGATATGTTGTTCCTGACTCTCTGTAGCCCCTCTAGCTCTTTACCGCATGCTGGGGAAATGTTTTGGTCGCGAGTTATAAGAGCGGAAAGGAGCGAAGGTTGGGAAAATCGGCTATTTTAAACTGCGCGCGGCGACGGATCAGGAGCCATGTGGCAACTATGCGAGGTCGGCAGAGGAGTGTGATTCACCGAAATGAGTGGGAGGGGACGTTTTCCCTCCGATCAACGCCGCGCGCGCAGTTTAAAATAGCCAATTTTCCCGACCTTCCCTCCTTTCTGCTCTTATAACTCGCGACCAAAACATTTCCCCAGCATGCGGTAAAGAGCTAGAGGGGCTACAGAGAGTCAGGAACAACATATCAGTTTTTCATGAAATTAAAAAAATGGCTTTTTTTTAAATCGGCCCAAACGTGAAAAAATAAGGGGTCTCTTTTGAGCGTTCCGGCGCTTTGGAGGTGATAACTCGAGCTGAAGTTGACAAAACCCTATGATGTTATACATTTTCTGAAAGCTCTCGTCACGCTGAAAACGCTCGTTTAAACCGCGTTTACGAAAACTTCTTGGTTTTCGAGTAATAAATTCGCGAAAATTTTGCCGGTTTTTAACTTTGACCCCCCGCCGCGTCTCCCCAAAATTTTTGGGGGGCTTGAAACTTTGGGAAAAGATGGGGCATTGTTAGGTGAATGAATAGGGCAAGTCTCAAAGGTATCCGCCCCGAGCCCCAAATGGCCCGTTTTGCACGTAGTCCTTTTATCTTTTTTCTCTTTTACGATTTAAAATGCCGAAAACTTCAGCAAAATGTCTCGTCTTTTTTTCTGCTTTGATTTCAGCCTCTTTCCCTTGGGCCGTGTTTTAGTGTTACATTATTTTGAGCTATATTTAATTCACTTATACTTAAAGTTAGTATATTAACAGACAGAGAGAGAGAGAGAGAAAAAAAAAAACACTACCACTGTAGTTTAAATACTGTCAACACAGTTCTGGTGACTATAAGTTTGGGAGTTTTCACTTTCTTTATTGGAAAAGAGTATTTAAATACTCATAAGGTTACTGCAAAATGCATTGAAGAAGAGAGGGTTCCAATAATACTAACCTTGCAGAATTCGAGTGAGTTTCGAATCTCTGTAGTTGATATAGGAGCTTATTCCTTCACCTAAGGCTGAAATTACATTACCAAGAGCAAGAAGACCTTTGTTGATGTTGGTCCCTTCAACGAAGCGATCCCCAATCGCTTCTGTTTTCTTCACCCTTTCTGAGCCAGCAAGGTCGACAAGGTGAAACTTAGCAGTCATCCTCTCTTTTCTGAAAATATTAAGAACGTTTACATTATAATTACAATGTTCAGATTATTTCTGGAATTACCAGTAAAATTCATTGAAAAAACTGCACATCAAGTAAGTTCTAATTTGCTTGTAGCAGACGCTTGTGCCACTTGATATGTTTGATCAATAGATATTGTGTCCATAGTTTCAAGCCCCCAAAAAATTTGAGAGAGTCAATGCTGAAGATGAAAGGCAGAGGCTGTCAAAGTGTTTAACGATGAAATATTCGAAAAAAAAATTGCACAAACAGTTGCAGTGTAACGAGAACATTCAGAAGATAAGCCTCACTACATGATCTTGATACATTAAGTAAACCTTGTAAAATTCTCCAAAATACTGGAATGCAAAAGACACTCCTTCTTCATTTTACACCTAGGTTGATTCCCACACTAGTCAACTTGAAATTTACATGAAGAACAGTGCAAATTGCACAGAAGCTGTGCATCGCTTAGGCAACATCAACATCTGCTCAATTCACAGAACTGAGATTTCTTTCGATTTCACAGAGTTGTTACAACTGCCCCATTTTCCCTCACACACAACACAATTCAGCATCAGCTAAAGATCGTAAGATAACACTGCAGCAGAGGCACAACACTTCTTTCTATTTGCGAAATAGAGAGAGACTTCCCTGGAAGCCAGATATAATCAGAAGCATTGCAAAAGGCGGTTTGAAATTTAGGTTTTTCTCAAAATTGGCTTGTTTTTGCTTTATTACTTTGGGACTATTGTTTTTCCTGCAAGCGCTGAGAAGCTGAGGGGGCTCCAGAACGTCTCAAGCAACAAAGCAGTTTATTATAAAAATAAAAAAATGGCTACTTTGGGAATCAGCCTAGACGTAAAATGATTATTTGATTTTTTACTTTTTTGGAGGGGAGGGGGTCCTTTTCAGCATTAGTAAGCTATTACTAAAACTTCAACTTCATGAAAATCTGTCATAGGTATGATATATTTTCATGCTAAAATACTTGTGCTTGGTATTTTGTTATACAGGATGTCTATTTTTTTCATTTTAGGAAACCCTGATTTTTCCTGATTTTTTACTGCTAAATCCTGTTTTCATAATTTTTGGCGGAGAAAAATTAACGGAAAGATAACGGATAATGAACAGAAAATAAGCGGACGGCCGACTTTTCTCAAATCCAGATTTTATGACAAATTTTTCCTCAAATCCTGATGAAATTGGGATTAAATCCTGATTGATCTCAAATCCTGATAGAATTGGGAAAATCCAGATGCTATACACCCTGTTATAATTCTGAATCCTTGAATCAATGATCACCAGAAAATTCGTTGAATTTACCTTTTGACACTAGAACGTTTTTGAGAGGCTCCTCAAACTTTGTGAGTGGACAAGGCAATATCTTCTAATCGAATGTGTTAAGTTTCCTAAACATCGTCCTTATTTGAATTTGGATCTGTTTTGCACATACTCTTACCCCCTTAAATTCAGAATCATTCTTTTTTATAGTTGCCTGTAGGCTAGAAAATAGTATTCCGTCATTGAAAAGAGTGTGTAGCCAGGCAAAAATATTTCTTGCCCAACAGAAACTCAGTATAGCTGCACTCTAAATAATCTTATCTTCAAATGTAACTAAATTGTGCCGCCTCAAATGGCTGTCCAACAACATCTTTATTTTTGATGACAGTTCCTGATTGCATGTGACAGTTTCAGTAATAGGTCATTTGCGCTGGTCACAGAATCATGTTTTGACGCTTCATTCTTGTGGATCAGCTAAAAATAATAAGATCTGTCCAAACAGCAACTTTCTACTTTGAATATTAACCAAGATATCGCGCTTTGAAAATTTGGTTTATGATGTCATCAGCCGCAGTAGTGACACCCTTGGTTTCTTCCACCTTGCTTTCATCAGTCAGGGAAACACTTATTTGCTCTGGTTAATCAGCGTGTTACTAGGATGAAAGCAAGGTGGGAGAGACCAAGGGTGTCACTACTGCGGCGGATGACATCATAAACCACAATTTCTCAAAGCGCCGATACCTCGGTTAAATTTCAACGTAGAAAGTTGCTGTTTGGACCGATCTTAATATTCGAAGCTGATCTATAAGAATCAAGCATCAAAATACGATTTTGAGACAAGCGCAACTGACCGATTAATGTAAACAGTTCGGGTTTGCAAGAGGGGGAATGTTCAGCGTGCGAAAATTTTACAGCATGACCTCCGCTTTTGAGTTGATTTCATGTAAAAATAAACTGTATCACAGAAGAAGAGTCTACAAGCATTTGATGAGTTTGAAAAGAGGAGACATGGATAAATTGAGTAAATGATTGTTGCTTACTTTTCACTTTTGCTTTCTTGCTTGATTATAATACTAAATATGGCGTGTGAGCGAGAACTAGTAGCGTTCATAGCTGTAGCTCCGGTTGCTCTGTTAGCTGATCCACTCTCTAAGCACGACAGCGTTTCTAGCTTCGAGTTGACTGGCTTCTCTGTCAAGCCTAGAAGAAGATTACGGAGCAATTAGGTTTCTCATGGAAACTGATACTTTGGGGAAAATCAGAGTATAATATATACATGCTTAGAAGCAGAAATAATGGGACAACTTCTAAAATAATTTTCAGAAAGGGGTGGCTTTCAGAAATTTCAGCGAGGATCGAGAGTGGCTTCCTTTCATATGATATTTTTAAAGCCGACTTTTTTTTTCTCAAATGGCTAAAGTACATGCAAGTGTCACGAGCTCTAAAAAAGGTAGAAATTAAAGTACCAAAAATCGGCCATCAAAATCGTACCATCAAATTTGAAAAAAGAACACTTTGAAAATGGTCCGGATTGCTTAAATAACTTGCTCATGAGACGAAATTATAGTTCACATTAAAGTTGGTCTATTCAAACTCCATACAGGGGGGGAATCAACATATAGATAACTTTGATCTGTGAAACTTAACTTAAATGTTCAACAAATAATCAGTTTCATCTGATCAAATTTTGTGCCCTTTTTTTGTCTCAAAGCACTTATTTAACTTATTAGAAACAATGAATTGTTCTGAGAACAATAACCTTGTCAAGAAACAATGTAGTGTTCTGAAGACAATGCGCTATTGAAAAGCTAGTGAAATTATTCTAAAGCCCAATCCGACTCGAGGAGATTGACTGTTTTTTTGGGAAGCAGGGAGTTCAAATCAACCAACTTGAAAATTGCTATTTTTAAATCTCATCTGTCTCTCCTGCTCACAAATTTGCTTCTCTACGCCTGGCATGGTCCTCCTGAAAGAGGTTTAAATCAAAGCTGGCCGAGACTTAGAAATTTGAGCTGGAATGTCAAGAGGAGCACTACCACATACTAAAAACCACAATTTCGAAATCGGTTGTCGGAGTTTCTGCAGAGATAATCACGATTTTATGGTTTTTTTTAGGCTTGTCAGAAAATAGGCTCATTTACGGCAACTAAATTCCCCCCTGCCCCATTTCTTCTTGGATTGACCTGAATTTTTAGTATATCCCTCTCTGGTATAAAGTACGAGAATCCTGAAATTTTCATGACTGAGAAAATTTTTTTGATCTCGTTAAAACGTTGCAAGGTTTCAAACTTCAAAATTATAGATTTTGCCAAAAAAATTGTGACACTGGCCCCCTGCTTCTTGGATCGGTCTGAATTTTTAGTATGTTATTCTCCAATATGATGTGAGAATTTCCTGAAATTTTCATGGCCGGAAAATATTTTTCCTCTCTTTGCAACATTGCCAAGTTTTCAACTTGAAAATTTTGAGTTCGGAGGTAACACGATAGCATGGGCCCATGTCTTAATGAATTGATCTGGATTTTTAGTATGTTATTCTCCCGTATAAGTAGCAAATTCCCTGAAATTTTCATGGGCAGAAAATTTGTTTCCCTCCCGTTTCGGCACTGCCAAGTTTCGAACTTCAAAATTATGGATTTGACTATAAAATGATGGCAATTGGGCGGGATACCTTGCAGAACTAGCTTCATTTATGAGTAATTTCATAAAATGTTCCGATAATTTGTCCCTTCAGAGCTGTAAGATTGCCTTGTTGCCGTTTTACTACTTTTATTCCGGATAAATGTACCTACGCTGCATCTTGCTGCAACTGCACATGCTGGTTTTTTCATTCACTTTAGCAGCGTCCATTCAAATATAATATGATACGCTAGGAAAGTAATATATCTCAGTTCCAACTTTGACGGAAAGGCCATTTCTACAAGAGGTTTGCCTTTTATTTTTGTTGGCTTTCAAATGAAACCAAATTTGGCTCAAATTCTCTTCTTTTTTTTGTAAATTAAAGGGTTTGACATTATTTCCTCCACCCCTTAGTTTGATATGTGGTGACTGAACACCTCCGAAATACAAAATGGTAGTGCATATACACAAATAAAAACAACAATTTAAAAAGTATTTGAAACAATCACATGAGAGTCAGAACCTTTGTCTTGTCATTTTAGGGACCAAAATACTCGACTGAGACCTTCACTGCCGTGCTAAGGAAGAAAGCCGTATAAGCCTTCAGACGTTTCCAAATTTCCAATGACAAATCACACATTTTTGGGAAAATTTGTAAAAATTTTTCTTCTGATTTTTCAGAGAATTTCACTTGTAATATAATCGAAAGTATCTAAATATTTCAAGGAAAAACATTAATAAGTTTCCTTAAAACAATATATTTTCTGAGAGAAAATTTGTAAAAATTAGAAGGCTCGAACGTCGTTGTTTCTTGGCATGGCAGTTCAGCACACATAAGGTTCCCATGTAATGCATTTTTTGGTACAAACTGTACAGCTGTGCAAATCGCAAAGACTTCTTTCAACGTCTTGTTGAAAAAATTCAGAGGCTGCATATTCGTATTGGGCAGTAATCTTCCTCGATCAAGAATACTTCACATCTTGAAAAAAAAGTGCTAGGTAAACAATGATCATAACAATTACCTGACAAGAAGACGCCTTTGCTATCCTCTCGAACCTCCACAACTGTTTGCTCCCTTGGTTTGGTTGACAGCAAATCATAGACTTGCTCTTTATACAGCTCTACGAAAGACACTGTGATGTTGAAGTTCCAGTCTTCTGCTTTCTCTTCAACGTAGTAAAAAATGTCATCGATGGACCTCGGGATGATTCCTTTGGTCCCGCTCTCACCAGAATAAGCTGTGCCCATAGAATAGGTCTTGCCCGAACCGGTCTGTCCATATGCTAATATAGTTACATTGTAACCTGTAGCAATAGAAAAATAAAGAATGAAGATGTCAGTTTGCTTTCAATGTCTTGAAAGTTAATCAAAGAGAAAGTGTGACATTTTAGATTTTTCTGGTACTTACATCGATCAGAGCTGCATGCTTTGACAGAACACTGCAATTCAAAATCACAATTCACACTTTTAAGATTTGTGTGCTAGACGCACCCGCTTCCCCCACCCCAATTAAGTACACCAGCGGGCCGATTATTGAAATTGAAGGACAAAGCCATAGACAAAGAAGACAAAAGAGATATGGAAGGGTTCTATTGGTGGAAGCAGGTGGTTCCAATAGACAAAGGAGGTAGGTAATAGACTAACTAACGGCAACCCACGGGAGATCCGACACTTGGTCTATCATTTTCTCCCTTTGTCTATAAGAACCACCCATTTCAACCAATAGGATCACTCCATACTGCCTATGTCTCCTTTGTCTATAGCTTTGTCCATAAATTTCAATAATCAGCCCGCAGGCCTTTGTAAAATCTTAGGAGGCCTTTTAACAGAGATGCAGAGACTCTTCAGCAAGATTTTTGAGGATACTCCGAGACTTACACCGCAAAAAATATAAATATATACACATAATATCTTATAAAAATCCTTTTCATAAGCTGATGCACACATAGTGTGCTCAAAAGTTCATGGTGGGCTGACATTCATTAGAGTACAAAGTTTGAAAAAATACTTGAGCCAGCGGCAATATAAGAGACATTGAATGTGAGAGTAGATTTTCCTACATTTCAGCTGACAGTCAGAGAGGAATACGCTATTTACCTGGGACAAGACAATCAGAATTCCAAGGAGTTGAAGGGTCATTCTAGGCTTGAGTGAGCGCAAGAAAAAAAAACTGTTATCTTTACCTAAAGCACTCGCGATGGAAAACACAGGGGAGATGATGAAAACTGCAATGCTTCCCATTTCTTGAGGCCAGGGCGTATGAAAATGGAGAGGCCCTGAAAACAGGTTTATGAAATGGGAAGGCCAACAAAATTTTGCAAACTGCCATAAAATTCGAGAGTTTTTCTTTGCAAAATCAAAGCGTTTAGTGCAAATAAAACAATCACATTGAAATTTCTGAGGGAAGAGGGATTATCCAATGGAAAAGCCAAGAACTTTCTGTATTCATATATATATTTCTTCTAGGTTGTGCTTTCAAAATTCATAGGTTTAAGCTATACATCCTCAAAAATAAAACTCTATGTCCATTTTGAGAATCATCCACCACACATTTAGACTGAGCTTATATCCATTTGGTAAAAGAAAAATGCTTCTCACCTTTAAACAGCTTTATTATCAAGTTTTTGACAGCAGTGTTGTAGACTTCTTCCTGAGTCTTTGATGGGTCAAAAACATGGTTGTAAGTAAATTTTACATTAGGCGGCACGCATATCTGAGGTGTATCGACTGCTGTTTCTAGACAGGAGCCCGAAGTACGCTCGGTCTCGGATTGATTTAGCGGGCGGATCCGTACCGCCACTTGGACGGTGTCTGCCATCTGAAAGTTAACAATAAATCAAATGAGAGGTGCTCCCTCAAATCCATCTGACAAATTAATTGCTATTTAACTGCAATTTATCAAGGGTACAGTTGTCAAGTAGCGCTGTGGAAAGAAAAGAATGGACCAACGTCACATCAGCAAACGGCACCATTCAACAGAAATTTAGGTGCTAACCAATGGACCGATTAATGACAGGTGCATTCAGGTTGATGAAACTTTTGTCCATTCTTTTCTTTCTTGAATGCTGATCCTCTGGTGGAGTTTTCAATATATGACTTTGAACATTTTACAATCTAAAAAATTAGGTATGACTGGAATTCTGCAACGTTGCAAACTAAGATACATGTTTATGCAGTTTCACGGTGTATGTTGTTTTTCCAATGTACATTGAAGAAATTTTGAAAACATAAAAACACTGATCATTTTCAAAAAAATTATCCCCCAAGAAAATGAGGACTTCTTACACCTTTTCACAAGCACTTTCGCAGTCTTTTAATTTTCTATAAATATTTGATCATCATAAGAGCCTCGGAGTGCAGACCGGAGACTTAAAGAATGCACTATACCAATGGCGGGAGTGCGAGACGACGCATCTCCACTTGCGACATGACAGATTTCCTGTCATACTTTATTTTTCATTAGAAAACTAAGTAGTCAACATAATAACTTGAAAACTTCCTTGATTTTTCGTATTTGTAGCGGAATAATCTGTATACATTTCACGCTAAGAAGTTGGCTGAAACCTCTTCCAAATATTAAAATAGGAAGGAATATTCTGAAACAACGTGATGGAGATACATGGCACTAAAGCCGTCGATATTGATGGTATAGTATTTCAATGTGATTTAAGCCCAATTCACACTAGCAAACTTTCCATCCGAAATAATTGAACGAAAAGTTGGATGGAAAGTTGAACGCAAAAAAATTTGATTCAACTACCTTTGCAGTGTGATACCTTCATTCCAGGTTTCTGACTCCGGATATTAGTATTTGGGTATTTCCGTCAGCTTTCAGCAGGCCGATTATTGAGACTTTAAAGCAGCCCAATAAGACATCAAATTGCGACATATTGCATGGTTAAGATAGGGCTATGTCATATAAAACCAACATAGTTTCAATAATCGGGCTGCAGTTCATGAAGATACAGCTTTGGCTGCTGTCAGTCGGAAGATTTTGATCCAACTCTCTGTTCAACTTTCCATTCAAATGGCGCTGCCAATTAGATGGAAAGTTAAATGAAAAGTTGAATGTGACATCTGGTTCAAGTTTCCTTTCAATTTTTCATCAAATTGTCGTTTTCTCGCATCAGTATCTCACTATCTAACTTTTCATTCGACAGGTTGCATGCAAGAGTTGAATGAAAAGTTAGATAGGATAGTGTGAATTGGGGCTTTATGTACTTCAGGTTGATGTGACAATTAGTTATTCCTCTTTCCTCAATTCTAGGCTCAATCAAGGGAGAAACAGAAAGGTATTCGTGGATTATGCTCACAGCACTTCTGGATAGCCTCCCAATGAAAAACACACAGCTACATTCATTTACTAAATTTGCAGGATGCATCACATTTCGCTGAGAGCAAAGAAAATTTGTTAAAGTGACCATGTATGCTTCACAGCAACGCATAATCTTAAGTGAGACACAACTGAGAACATGCACACATAATTGTCACAGGCACTATATCAACTAATAGACCAATATACCCTATTGTTAGAGGTGTCATCAGCTAAGTTGACGGTTGTTCACTTCCGGTTTGCAACCGCCAACAACGAATTTGAGCCTCTGAACAAAACGGCGTTCGCTATTATCCACATTGAAAAAATCAGTCTCATGATCGTATCGTAAAAAAACTACTTATCAGTTATAATTTGCGACTTTTTTGTGGTTGTGATTTCTGTGTGGCTAAAAATTAAGGGTTACAGGGTTTGAAAGTATTAAAAAACTTATCTAAGCTTGTGTTCTTGCTTCTGAGAGAGCCTGATGTTTTCATAAGGACAGTAAGGATGCGAAAACGCCTGCAAACCGAAAGTAAACAACCGTCAACTTAGCTGACGACACCTTTAACAAAGACATTATAACTGTATGCCCCTGAAAGACACGGGGTCTTTGCTGCTTCCAAAAATTAGATAAAATAATACAATTTGAGCATCTCGTGGAGCTAATGTTATAAAAAGGTTAAGGTTGGTTGATCTCAAAACGCGATTCACCAATTCGCATGGAACGAGCAACACCAATTCTGAGTTGAACAACACAGGACAAGTGCAATGCTAAATGGTTTGATAGTCTTTTTACCGATAAAGAGCCAAGATTGATGGGATCGAGAATGAGTGTAGAAGGATATTTTAGCTGATAAAAGGCTAAGCTGAAGGATAGCCATGTGCTCAGTCATCTACATCTTCTGCTTGGAGCAAGGTTCTCTTTCAGGTGCTAGAATGAAAGTAATTCACGAAAATACACTGATGATTAATGAACGTATAACGAGGCGGAAAAGAGAGTAATAGAGATGAATTACCTTTGTCAACAGGCTTTGGGAAAGACAAACAAAGACACAATTCCGCCTTCGCCTTGATGGAACCTCAAATAGTCAAATCAAATCTCCATTTCCGTATTTTCCGTTAAAAATCGGACACTGTGATTGGTGCAAGAAATCAGTTTGTGCCAATCTCTATGAAAAAACTCTAAAGGTTTTTGATCCCATAACACGTTTAAAAGTTATCAGTGGAAACTTCCTTCCTCAATAGTTTGCAGGAGTGACTATAAATATTTAAAAATAATTTATTCGTAACGAAGGAATCTTCTTACTACAGAGGAAGTATTGAATTGTTCTTCCAGATCAGAGCAAATAGAGATCGGCAAATTTGGCAGACTGGACGTATCGATATATTGAACAACGGAGTCTCGCGGTCTCGCTCGATCGATCTCTCAAAAAACAATCGCAATCGAATTCGATATTCATCCATCCCAAATTTTGAGGTTATGTGATTAGTAAATTGTCAGCCTGTGGAAGTGTCGGCGTGTTACTATTATCACAGACCTAATTTTAATACAATTTGATTCCTGCTCACCTCCCTAAAATGGCTTTTTATGATGATGTAAGTAAATTTTTAAATTTCAAAACCCTGAAACGTAACTTTTACCCTTTTAAGTGAACTACCTCAACTTCATCCCTCGACCAACTTTGTGGAAGCCTGCGGGCTTCAGGATCAGGATTTATTACCCATTCTTTCCATACTCAATTCAGTTTTCCCTTTCACTTTAGAACGAAGAGCATTTTCAATTCCATCTGTAGCATTGAAGCAAAGTGCAATCTATGTTCTTCAGCTCACCCGGTTACCATATGATGCGCAATATTCTGCGATTACAGGATTAAGTCTACATCCCAGAGCAAGATAGTCACAGTAGGTGGTGAGTTCGTCATAGACACCAAAGTTAATTTTGGTGAATTACCCGCGGAGTTACCCGTTGTCCCACTGAGGCCTAACTACTTACTGTCACTTGACTTGGTTTACATCCTCAATGCTCCATTCATCAGCCGCTAAGAGGGTTGAGCCGTTGCGGTGAGCATTGAAGCGCCATGACAGTCACTGGGTGAAAAGCGTTGTTTCAATGGAGGTTTTAGACCGATCTTTGTACTTGCTATGCTCTCACCGGGTAAATTCCATCGAGGCCAGTTGTCAATCACAAACTCGCCTATTGTACTGGAGCACCAATGAAGTCACTTTTCAAGGCTGTTTTGTCCAGTACTCCGAAGACAGGTGTTCGGCTAGTGGGGTGCCATAGGATTGCGGTCCCTGCTGTAGGTTTCGCTGAGAAAATATACATTTTAAATTTATCTCACGAAAACCAGAAGTTTTGTATATTCCTTTATTTGTTATTAATTTGGTCAACATAATTTGCCAAAATTTGCAAAAACATACAGTTCCATAAAATAATATGTGCCCGATTCTCTTCAGAATTCTATAACTGATTTTCGTAGAATTTCAAGGATCCCTCCTATTGTTCTTGTGAAAGCTCGAACAAGGTACCTACTCTCTACCGTTATTTTTTCTTGACGAAAGTCAACCTCTCACATCCATTGCTGTTGTTTTTCAGAGGCGAGGACTTGATGATTATGATGACGATTACCATTACGATACAGATTATGGAAAGCACGATTCTTCATCTTATCCGATCATGCCAGACATCATCAAGAAATTTATCCTTCATTTTAGGGATGTCATTCAAAATGGGAGTATATCTGACAAACAAACTCTTTACGAAAGCACGTACGTATGCACAGTTTAAATAAATTCTCTCTCTTAATTTATAAATCCATCCCATTTTCCCATTTTAGAGTTCTCTCTCAATTTCTGAAATCAATGTGCTCTTCAGTGCTGCCAGTGTACCAGTGTTAAGTTACTGCACAGCAATACGAAGTGAAAGTGAAAGACTAACTTAACTAATTTTCTTACCTTGAAACTTCAGTGATAGTTGGAATGCCATCAAACTTTTTTGCTTTTCTTGAGCTAATGATTTCGGGCAGTGAAGCTGTTCAACTAAAGAAATGACTAAGCCTCTCTAGGCATATTGTATCTTCCAACAGCAAAAAAAAAGAGTTTTGATCAGCTAATCTTATCCTAACTTGAACACTTTGAATAAATCGTTTTTTGAAAGTTCCAACATAATAGTCAATCCTACTGAGATCCCTAAGAATAAGAACCTTTGTGGAGACAAACAGGGTGTCTACAGTTGATAAAAATCGGAAAATATCAGGAAATTTGACGTCATCAGGAAATTTGGTCATGAATCAGGAAATTCTAAGTTGTCAAGCATTTTTCAACTACTTGCAGTTCAGCACATTCGAAAGTGAAACATTTGATTCAATTCATTAAATATGTTAGTTGTAAAATCAAACAAGTGTCAATTTACTTGTGCGATCAATCAATTTTCATTTAAAATATCAAGAAAATCAAAAATGATATTTTAGTAGACACCCTAACAAACTTCGCAATGAGATATCTTGGTACCACTGCATTTAGGAATGTTTTGTGAACATTTGGCTCAACTTAAACACACCAGGAAAGAATGGCAGAGACAGGACAAATTTAACCAAATTCACAGTAGTTAAAAGTGTTCAGCTCAAAAATATTAGCAATTGGAAAAAGGAGGGGTATCGATGAGAGCCTTTTTTGGCCCCCCTAGGAGGGCCTTTTTCGGCCCCACCTAGAATCTGGAAATTAATGCGGGTTTTCCAAGTTGACTCAATGTAGTTTACAGGAATAATCATGATTTGGTCCATAGGCCACTGGATACGTGTTAAACAGTTGCCATGAACATACGCCTGCAGGCGTATTTTAGGGAAAATGCGTGTTTTTCTATCACTCCAAGGCTTTTTTTGACACCGAGCGCATTGTCTAACTAAAACGAGATTTTGATACGTTATCAAGGAGGCTTTAGGACACATTTTAACCCTGGTTTGGTTTTAGTTAGATGATGCGCTCATAGTTAAAAAAAAATTTTCAAAAGGCGACTTTTAAGAGACATCCGCAAAAATCTTAGGGGAACACGTCTCTCCAACTGTATGCTCGCTACGTATATTATGAGGGCAGTTATGAAGCCCTGTCAAACTGTCACAAGGAGATTTTCTTTAATCGTAGCCAAAAAGAACCCTAACGACGTAATTCCCTAAGATTTTTGAGAATGTCCCTGAAAAGTTGACTTTTGAAAAAGTTTTTTTTCACTATAAGCGCATCATCTAACTAAAACCAAACCATGGTTAAAATGTGTCCTAAAGCCTCCTAGATAACATATCAAAAGCTTGTTTTAGTTAGACGATGAGCTCGGTGTCAAAAAAGCCTCGGAGTGATAGAGAAACACGCATTTTCGCTAAAATATGCCTGCAGGCATATGTTCAGGCAACCGTTTAACACGTATCCAGTGCCCTATGGACCAAATCATGGTTATTTCTGTAAACTACATTAAGTCATCTAGGAAAACCCGCATAAATTTCCAGATTTTAGGTGGGGCCAAAAAAGGCCCTTATCCTTCCTTATATCCTTCCTTTCGGGCTCTGGGCAAAGATCAATCAGCCATAATCAAGTCTTAAAATATTTGGCTTAAAATACAGCTCAAAAAGTGTCTGCACCAGAGCTGAAGCCTACAGTCCATGGTAAAATTCTCCGTGTATTGTTTTAAACGACTTCTTGTCATTATTATTGGATTGAACCAGCCCAATTGCATTTCTTATTGCCTAAATTATTCTTGTGTTCTAGTTTTTTTTTAACAAAGGACCGAACTTCCTATCACCTAAAAACAATCAGTAACTTTACCCTCTATATGGAGAATATACTCACAAAATTAAAAAAAATTAGGCAACGTCTAATATACAGAGTTGCCATGGTCAAGGAATACTGGGAAAACCGGAAAATGTCGGGGAAAATGGCAGAAGTGTGAAATTTCATTTTTGAAATCCTGTGGCAAAGCTGAATTAGGTTGGCTCAGGTTGATTCCAGCTGAGTACGTCCAATTGTCATTGTATTTTCACTTTTTTCAGTTTCCCAAAATTGACAGAGCAGTACTACGATAACAGTCCATGGCCAACAGATAGAGAAATCTTGAAAGAGCTTCCAGAAATAGAAAACAGCAATGATGATCACGTAAGAATAATTTTTTTACTATTTGACATACAAATGCACACCATTTGTGCATAACTTAGAAATTAGTGAAGTTTATGCTAACTCTAAATGTGGAGCTTTTTTGAGTTCGCTTCTCACATCATTGCAAAATTTGTGGACGACTGCAAAATGTTATGCATTAGGTATTAGGATTAACTGAAATTTGCATTGTGAAATACTTCCACAAAATCAGAACTAGTTGTGTCAAAAATCAGTTTATTCCAATAAAATCTTAACATACATCGTCACTAAACAAATACTTCATCTATGTTATGGGTTTTGTTCCAGATTTTTCTTGTTCTATACTCAGAACTTTGCTACAGACACATTTACGCAAGAGTTCCCGGAGGTCCTTCTTTGGAGCAGAGATTTGAATCCTTCTACCACTACAGCGCTCTCCTAGATTGGATTCTTTGTAAGATGTTTAATATTGCTCTTCAAGTTCATGATATTAAATTCTCTCTCTCTCTACTTTGTGGTTTGTGCGTATTTTTTGGAAAAACTTGATTTTCATTTGGCTTGTTTTTTCATAAAAATTTTAAAGTAATAACTCTAAAGTATACAGGCCTCTATGAATTTTTTTAATCTCTGTACCATGATTTTTTTTTTTTCAATGATTTAGAGCACTCCTCAAATCACTTTAATAGTAATACTTAACAATGGACGTCTGATTATACTTTCCCCCTTTATCTGTTTCTCATGTAAGTTCATAAAAAACTGATGTTTGTCATTGATTCTTTCTACCACCAAAACAGCCCTTATTTAGATCTGGCATCGATGGAGTTTCAACCGGGATCAAATTATTTTCCATCATTTTTAATTTCTCGACCTTTTCTTAAAAAATTTCAAATGTACAACAAATGAAGGATATGCTATGATCAGGATGCAGAAAGTTCCTACCTTCTCTTTTTTCAAATTTGCGCTCACATTTTATTTACCGCCTCTAGCCTTCTCTCTATTAATTGGTGCAATTTTGCCAAAAATATGCCCTTTTCTCCCTGTTTTTGAAAAATGCATGATTTCTACCGCAATTTCTTTTAACGCGGGATTTTCATGCTCATGTGCTCATGTTATTTTCACCTGTATCGAGCTAAGCTGCGCCCCCAAGGCAGATAAGCTCCGGGCTCTAGGACCCAACACCCAACTTACTCCGGGTCCATTACACTTGTACTGCAACTTAGGGCTGCTCTATCGGTTGTTGGTAAGCTACTGAAACAGTTCCGTCAAGAAAAAGTTACGGTAAGAGTACTCTTACCAATAGCGATCTGAGTTTTTGGAGCTGACGAAAATAAGCTGTTGTCATTTGTACATCTATTTTACACGCCACCGTGCCAGGCAATCTGACAAACCAACACAGCGGGGCAGCATTGCATTGAGTGCGAGCTCTCAAAACTCCGATAAGGCCGGCTGTTAATGATATCATCGCCACTGTTGGTGCTGCCACCAGTTTCAACACAATACCGATAGTGTTCTGGCAAGAATTCGTTTGAACACTCCTACCGCAGCTGTCCCATTCTTTACTGTATTTTCTATTTTCATGCAACCAGCCATGCGTTTGCGGTTAAGAGATCGGGAAGTTTTTGCATCCCTGCAAGCTCTCTAGTTTTTCAGTAGTCTGAAGATCATGATCACCAAAAACAAATTCAACAATCTCTTAAATTTGTCTCTTTTTTTCCTCTCTTTCAGCGTCACCGGAGCCGGTTCGATTGGAACTCCCTGATCAATGGCTTTGGGAGTTGATTGATGAGTTCATTTATCAATTTCAATCATATGCACAGTACAGAGCTCGTCTGCACCAAAAGTCACCCTCAGAACTTGAAAAGTTGGAGTCAGCTTCAAAAATCTGGAATGTTTTGAGTATATTGAATGTCCTGCATGTGTTCGTCGATAAATCCAACATTAAACAACAGTTGGAGGTATACATCTTGCTACTTTTGCATAATTTTTTAAATTTTCACATAATGGACCTTTAGACAAGGAATGAATCACAGCACTTTGCAACAAGTTTAATCTTTCAAATTTCACGAGGAAACCGAATCGTACAATGGGAAGTCTGAAAATCAACTCCTCAACAAGATGGAAGTTTTTACAATTATCATTGGTTATACAGCAAAACATAAATGATGTTGTTTGTATGATATAACTTCAATTTGGTCTGTGTCAAAAATACTTGTTAATATCTTGTTCAGATGTTGATTTCTGAACATTCTATCCATTTGGATTGCATTTCGCAATAAGGAACTACAATTCCTGTCTCTTAGATAAAAACACCCACCTGCGTAGGGAAACCAATGGCGTTTATGTCATTTCTGAAATTAGCCGGCTAATGTAATTCCTAGTTGCAAAGCGTGGTCCAGTTTTAGCCGCAGAAGGTGCTCATATTTCTGCTTTGTTGATTAACCATTTACAGTCAACTCTGCTTAATGAAGACACATCCATCTTGGGCAACTTACTTTCAATCAAGCAGGTGTCCGGACTAACCAAAGTTTCCCTGAAAGCACCAAAAAAATGGTCAATTTTGATGGTGGTTAAGCTTTGAAGTATTAAGCTCCTTATTTTCTTCATGTAAAAAGAATCTTTTGAGGTATTCAACATATTGTTTCGCATCAGCTGAAGGAATATTTGGAGCCGGTCCTTCACCATTGCCAAAATCTTTGTGTTTGGGCTCTGCTCGCGCATCTTTAAGTGATTTTGACGTGATTCAACTGTTCCTCCAGCAAATAATTATCCGGATGCATTGGAGTTCTGTCCCAATGTAGCGGAGTTTTTTATATTGCTAGTATGTAAAAGGCTACCGGGCAATTTTATCCCACAAAGCGGTTGTCCCGATTAACTAGTATCCCAATTAAGCGGAGTTGACTGTATTTTGAAAATTTTCTCAGAAAGAAGTGGTGTAAGTGTCAAAATTTTATGCTCTCTTAAATTTTATTTCAGGCTCATGCTAGTGGCAACAAACCTGAATCCGTTGCCGGGGAATTTGGATGTCATCCGCTGTACAAAATGCTTGGATATTTCTCATTAATTGGTCTCCTCCGCGTCCATTCACTTCTTGGCGACTACTATCAAGCCATCAAAGTCTTAGAGAATATAGAACTAAATAAAAAGGCAAGTCTTGTTACTAAAATTTCCACGTAAAGCTCTGTTGTGAAGCCGACAGATATTTGATTTTTTTAAACAAGCTGCCTTGAAATAAAACGAAATGTTGCAAAAATGGAGTCCTTACAGAATTTAGCAGTGTTTAAAATTCAAGCTGATATCTTAGGAGTTATTTTGAGCATCAGCTTTTATTCATAGAAGATGAATTGGAAGAAATAGTATTTCAGTTTGAGGAACAGAAAAATGCTCAGTAGCATCGTAACTGTTTTAAAACATTCTCCATGTAGTGCTGTATGTGAGTTCCAATTGCAAAATATATTTGGACAGCAATTAAAAGCAAAAAAATCTCAATTTAACTTGCATTCCTTTAGTGTCAACTTCAACTGCGTCTAATTTTGCATGAACGCATAGACTACATAGAGTTTTAATGTAAATGGGAGAGTTGGTGCCTTGTTCTGGTTAACGAGTTCCAGGCCTGGTGTGCGCCAAGCTTTGGTCACTTTTTTGATACATTTTCAATCCAAAATGGTGATGTAGAATACTTAGTAATTCGTATCTCTTTTGTTTACATCGGATTGCCGGGTCCTCGTGTATCGAAAAAAATGGATCACATATCGAACAAGTGACACAAGATTCTCGGAAGTCAGGACCTGGAAAATGCTTGAAAGTCGGGCCAGCTCTCCCACTTACATTACGACTCTGTGTACTCTATGCATGAATGACAAAATGAACCTATGACCTGGTCCTATGATTTGTAGTGAGCATATCTCAGAATATATTAAATGCAATAAGATAAAAATTTAAATGGCAGAATGAGTATCTTCTAAGCATTTAACCTTTCTTCATAATTTCTTGATATTTTTAATAAAACATTTTGACGTTCAGCTTATTAATCTGGTGACAGCAACATTTTTTATTTCTGAAATATTTTTTGTCTCAATTTTTAGAGGAAATTTTAATGAGGTACGTTAATCTGTTAACTTCGATCAACAACTCTGAGCCGTTAGTCGATGCAGCATCAATGTGTACTTCCTTTTCATGTTTTCTTGGTAGATCGCAATATTTATGAGTAGTATAACCAACCCCAAACTTATTTTGTACGGTTGAACACAGTACAATTTCAAATTTCCCTGAACTCTCCATGATTCTAATCTCAATAAATTAACAGTGTTAAAGCATCATAAGGAAGGTTTTTACCTGTCTTTTCATAGAACCTGTCATGAATACTCATACATCAACTTTCAACCCTAGGAAATGAGCTGAAGATTCATTTTGAACCATTTGAAGTTATTGATAGTTGCATATTTTAGCAAAAATCATTTAAGTAATAAGTCAATAAGTTATCTCAGAGTTAGAATTTGTATGATCCACAATTGTAATTAAGGTCATAATCTTGGGCTAATATTCATTTCGCATATCTATTAAATTCCAGAGCCATTACACGGATGTCCCTGCATGCCAGATCTCAACAGCTTACTACGTTGGATTTGCGTACATGATGATGCGGCGATATGCAGATGCAATTCGCTCCTTCACATCCATTCTCCTCTACATCCAAAGTGTCAAGCAGCTTTTCCAGACTCGAACTTATCAAAACGATCAGGTATTTGAGCAATTATGTGGGCAAATTTCTTGAGGCACTGGAAACTTAGAGAGAGATGCAAGGGATCACTCTAGCCTATATTATTTGGAGAAAGCATTTTCCATTTTTGAGTTTTTCTCCTTAAATGAATTTTCTATCAAAAAGTCTCTCTTAACCTCAACAATGAAAACCATCCAGTAACCAAGTAAATTCCTGGAGCTCATAGTGTTGCAAATATTCCAATTATAGGATTTTAACTATCAACTCCAAGATGAATCGTACATGGACGGTGAAACTTCCAAACCATGTACGTATCTCGTTTGCAGTGTTTAAAAAAATCCGCTCCTGTTTTATCTTCTAATGAGAACAAAGTAACATCACCTCTTGAATTTTTTTTAGAATTTGCTTTGCACGGAGAAGAAAAATTACAGAAGTTTTTAAAGATTGATGTTGAGTAATTCTCCATTTCTAAGTTAAAGTAAGACAGGAAGTCTGCAACATTGCAAACCAAGATCCGTGGTTTGATAGTTTCACCATCAATATCTGTTAAGGCCTCATTGCATGCAAATGGTCATTAGGAGTAGGGCTGTTCTATCTGTTGTTGGTAAGCTACCGAAAAAGTTACGATAAGAGCGCTCTTGCCGATAGCGATTAGAGTTTTCGGAGCTGGCAAAAATAAGCTGTTGCCATTTGTACATCTATTTTTCGTGCTGCCGCGCCAGGCAATCTGATCAACAGACAAACGGGGCAACAATGCATTGAGTGCAAGCTCTCAAAACTCCGATAAGGCCGGCTGTTGTCGATATCATCGCCACTGTCGGTACTGCCGCCAGTTTCAATAAGAGACGATGTTGATAGTGTTCCGACAAGAATTCGTTTGAATACCCCCAATTAGGAGCACTTCAAGATACTTACTTCGGAAAACATCCTGGTACCTCAAATAGACTTAGCTAGAATAAATCATAATTTTTTCAAGAACGTCAATGAATGCTTTCATCCGAGATATCTTTCAAGTCTCAAGTTTTCTTCTCCCCCTTAACAAAGTTTGCCCTAACTTTTGAAACCATATCAAAACTGTGTATCTCAATCTTTTCCAACAACTTCTGACTGGTCATCTAATTTTTTACCCTTTCTTATTACGTGTGTTCTCTGCAGATAAACAAGCAAACAGAGAAAATGTACCATCTTCTGGCAATTTGTCTAGTGCTCCATCCCCAGTGCATCGACGAATCTATTCAGCAAGTGCTTCGAGAGAAGAACTACCATGAAAAAATGTACAAAATGCAGTATGGAGACACCAACGTGAGTGTGTTTAACATAATTTACCATTTTCTATTTGCTTCTATCCTCGGTATAGAAGCCTTAGTGCCACGAAACTCTATAATGAGCAGGGTTGTCACAGTTGCAAGAAACCAGAAAATGTCAAAGAATACTGGAAAGTGTCAGGGAAAATGATGAAACTGTCAGGGAAAGATTATTAAATCACCTTTTTTTTTTGCTTTTTAAATGTGTTTGATGTTTCCAACAACAAATGTTGCATGTTCAGGTTTGGGAGTGGCCATTTTTATCTTTTTCTAATCATCCTGCACATTCTGAAATGTCGAGGAATCTCATTTTTTAAATATGTGGCAACCCTGTTATTGCTGTCCTTCATTCTGTTTGTGATGATACGTCTGCACTATTGATTGTATTCAATTATCAGCTTCATTTATAATGGACCTCCATATAGGGCAAGAATTAAACGTAGGTATTATAAACTACTGACTTCGTCTCATAAAATTGACTCTCAATTTAAACCTCTCACTGAAATGAAATTGTCTTTAATTCCTTTTATTACCGCTTAAAAAATTTTATTTTCAGGAATTTGAATCCTGCTTCATGTTCGCGTGCCCAAAATTCATTTCTCCAGGTTCTCCGCCCCTTGATGGGCCTCCAGAAGATCACTCAAAGAAAGCACTGAAGTTCCAAACAGAAGTTTTCATGGCTGAAGTGGCCCAACAGAAAATGCTGCCCATCATTCGGAGGTTTGCCTTTTATTTTAATCATAGTTTCACAAACTCCAATGTAAATTCACTTTTTGTGAATTCTTTTCACACCAGTTTTCAGTAAATTGAAATTGAAATTGTTTTATTTATACAGGAGCCTTTTCAAGGCTAGGTACACGTCATATATTTACATTGTAAGAAATAAAATATTTACATTGTGCATAACTTGAAGAAAAGTGTATAGATAAGGTATAATCATGTGACAAAAAGAGGTGTGATTTTCTGGTATTTTAGGGAACATTAATAGGTTGTTCTGTAAATTCTTTAAAGTAAAAGAGAGCATTCATCGGGAAGCAGAATATTTTCTTATATTTTATGCCTAATACCATTTCATCACACAGTACTAATTTTCAAAGGAGACTTGCAAAAAAATCTGTGCTACACGCCTACTGTAATGTTACATAACAGCCCCCCTTGTATCGAACTTGCAATTTAGGATCAAACCCACCCTTTCCCCTCCAGAGCAAGACGAATTTTATGGATACCACCTTATCATACTTTTCAAGGCAGATGCATTAATAGAAGTGCAGGGCTCCTGGCTACCTTGGAAAGCCAGGAAATTTATGGCGACCTGGCAAAGTCAAGGAAAGTTAGGGAAGTCATAGGGAGTCTGGGAATTTTGTAAGGAGTGTTTAGCATTTAGCAGAAGCAAGTGCAATGAAAAGGAGAAAAATTGAAGTGAAAGTTTTTTTCGAATGTCAGAGAAAGTTAGGAAATTCAAAAAATTTGGAGTCTGGAAATAGCAAATATAGGGAAATGAAGAAAATACGTAGGATGTTCAAAAAGTTTTGCATATCCGGGTTTTGAGCAACGAAAGCAGCTATCAATTTGCAGTTTGTGTGTGCTTAAAATAGACGCAATTACCAATAAAGCAACACCAAGAACAGCTTTCTAGCTTAAAGTATAACAGAGATACAGGGTTTCAATCCTTTGAAGTCACAAAACAATTTCTCCATCTACCCCTCCAGGTCGTAATTAAATCTGGCTGATTTTAAGGTATTTCAGGAATCGGGCCCGACAAAATAATTTCCCCGTTCAGGTCGTATGTCGGGCCTCCCCCAACATAAACTTTCCGAACTGTAAAGTCGTCTGGCAGGCCTCAATCGACTTGCCCGGTTAACCTGGCAAGTCGATTGACGGCCTCCACAACATACGACCTGAATGTGGAAATTATTTTGTCAAGCCTGGCTCGACAGACGACCCCAAAGGGTTAAAAATGACACGTACCATGACCGCCTCCACAATTTTTAGCTACAAATATGTTTGTCAAGAAAAAAAAAGATAAATGAGAATTGATTGTTTTTATTGAAAAAACTTAAAAAATCTTACGGAAATTGACAAACTTTAAGCTTCTTCATTGGATGACTTAACATTCGGCTGTTTTTCGAAGTATTTTCCACCACTTTGAACACAAAGCTTTAGCTGTTCTACTCACTTCACAAGGATCGTCTTTTTGAAGTCTTCTTGACGGAGGGTTTTGAAGAATTTTTGAACAGCGGTTTTAATCTCGGCTATGAAATCAAACCGTGTGCCTCTCAGAAATTTCTTTAACTCAGGAAAGAGCCATTTCATACCCGAGATCAAAGCAGGTGTTCAAAAATTCTTCAAAACCTTCCGTCAAGAAGACTTCGAAAAGATGATCCTTGTGAAGTGGGCAGAACAGCTGAAGCCTTATGTTCAAAATGGTGAAAAATACTTTGAAAAACAGCCGAATGTTGAGTCAGCCATGTCATCTGATGATGAAGCTTAGCGTTTGTCAATTTCCGTAAGATTTTGTAAGTTTTTTCAAAAAAACACTCGATTCTCATTTAACTTTTTTTTTCTTGATAAACATATTTGTAGCTAAAAATTGTGGAGGCGGTCACGCTACATGCCATTTTCAAAACCCTGTATCTCTGTTATACTTTAAGCTAGAAAGCTGTTCTTGGTGTTGTTTCATTGGTAATTGCGTCTACTTTAAGCACACACAAACTGCAAATCGATAGCTTCTTTCGTTTGCTCAAAACCGGGAAATGTGCAAAACTTTTTGAACACCCTATGTAATTAGGAAGAAGAGGGAATTGGAAAATAAAGGAATCATGGAAACTCTGGAAGTGACTTTGAGACATGTTTTGGGATCAGTATAACCCTAAATTGAGTCCTTACACCTTTTTCATGATCGTGTCCAACCTTGGAAAGTATGAATAATAAAAAAAAAAAAAAAAAAAATTCTAAACTTGGAAAATGTACGTAGCAGTTTTCAAAGGAGTAGATTCGTTTGTATTAGATGTACGTACCATCTTCAAGAATCTTAGAAACCCAAGAAAAAGAGTATTATTTTATCCACTGATAATCTTCACATGTTGGTCATTGTATGCTCTCTGAGAGGAAACATACTTTTTCTTGTTGCAAAAATTCATGTAGGAAAATACTCTTTGTTTTTTCCTTTGATTTATGAAAAGGGCATGAATGTCAATCGAAGAACAACATGTTCAAATGCATTAAAAAAGCTAAGGTTAGATTTTGGTAGATGATCTTGCATCTGTAATCATTGACAGAGGATCATTTTTTAATTCTTTTTTTTTCTCATTTTATTTTCCTGCTTTTTGTCTCTTGGTTAACAGGGCCATTAAACCCCTACAGAACATCCCTGGCATTTTTATGTGTATTTTTTACCTTATATATCCTTTTTTGCATATTTTTTTCGTATTTAATTATGCAAATTATTTTCGCATCGTTCCTAGATTATGCCAGCTTTAAGCGTAGTTCTTCCTCTCCATTCTTTCCTCCTATCTTACATATCTTAGAATCCCAGTTCAGTTCTTTCGGGAATCAGGTTTCCTCTGAACATATAGGCCTCTCTGTCATGCTGTTTCAGTCAATTAGAAATTTAACTGGGCATTCAAATTTCTTAATATCAATGAAATCATTAAAAAAAATTGGCCCAAGTGTTTTTCCCCTATTCCAGAATATGAAAGATAATGTGAGTTCCTGTTTGTGCACAGTTATTTGAAGCTGTATACCACACTCCCGCTTACAAAATTAGCAACGTTCATGTCTCAAGGAGTACATCAGTTCGGAGATGACTGGTCGCTAGACAAAGAGGTGCAAGCTCTGACAACGCATCTACTTTGCTTCAAGCATAAAATGAAGAATGTCGTTTGGGTCAAAGGTCCTTCTGGTTTAGACGGCAGTTTCCAATCTGGATCGGAGGTAAGACCAAATCAGTTGTCAAAATGTCTAAGTCCTCCTGATAAAGATTAAAAACTATTCATCACTTCATTGAACAATTTATTTAAACATCAAAAGGAAAATATTTAGTCATATAGCTGATGCTGAACTCTTTTCTTCCTGCAAGTTATTTCCTTATCATCTTTCACATAAACATATACTTTAACAAAGGATAAAAGCTTTTAGTTTTGTCATTCAGTTTACGGAGATTAAATTAGTGAAATTTGCTTTACCTGACAGCAGCGCTTGTGTTCTTTATTATTTTTATTCTTTGCTAGTGGATTTCTGGATCTTCCCACGTCAAAATACTCAATTAATTTTAATATTAACCGTACGAAAGAAGTAGGGAATCCGAGGACCCAAGAGACATGCTAGACATAATTCTCAAAGGAAACAAGAGCTCATCTGTTTTTAGACTTCCACCATTTTTTCATGTTTCAATTTTAATTGTGAGAGCTCATCTGTTTTTAGACTTCCACCATTTTTGCATGTTTCAATTTAAATTGTGAGAGCTCCAAGCCCCAAAGGTGCCCCAAGGTGAAAATATTCGATCCCAAGATCGAAAATCAATGTAAAAAGAGTTAATCCAACTTCATGAAAATTCTCCCTCTGAAAAAGTTCCCTCTATGCATGAGGGCCTTTTTTCTAATGAATGATCGCAAGTGGCCTATTCTTTTTTTTTTTATTACGTAGCATGTTGTCAACGATTACGGTTTCAACAAACAGTTTTTCTAAGTTTTTGTTGACTTAATGATCATCCAAAAATAAAAAAATTCTGACTCTTTGTCAACGATCATGACATCAACAAAACTTAAAACTTCCCCTTATAACATCTTTCAACTTTTAAGACTTGTTTTTCTTGTGTTCTAATCTAATCTAACCAACCATACGTGACCCAGACCTCTCCTGTGCACTTAACTTTTTAATTTTACTTATAAGGAAGATATTTTTTTGTTTGTTGACACCGTGATCGTTGACACCATGATCAGGGCCCATTTTTGCATTTTACTGCCTGAGCACGATGTCAACAATTGTTGACTCCATGATCAGATTTTAAGTTTGTTGACACCATGATCGTTGACACCATGGAACGTTACCTTTTTACCTTTTTTTTTTAACTAATTTACTATTTTTGAAAGTTAGTTACACGGGCCATTGCACCCATCTGTCAGAAAAATGAATCTCTAATTTATATTTATTTCTTTTTTCAGTTGGACTTCTATGTAGATGGAGAGATGGTTCACATTGCCGACACCAAAGTAGCCCACCGGTACGGCGACTTCTTCATCAAGAAAATCCTGAAGTTCGAAGAACAGAACAACAAATTGCGGTCATTGAAGATCAGCAAGGACTGAATTTAAGTTCTATCTGAATTTCTTTGATTAGTGTTAAGGTCAGTTTGACGCTGGAATAGAGTTTTTGAAACTGCAGGGTCAGTATTTTCGAGCATTACTCAAGTTTTGCATTCGAAGATTGGATATCTAACTGAAGTTAGCACTGTGAAGTACATTTTTTTAAGTTTTATAATAAATATTTGTAAAATTTAATTCCCAACTCTTTTCACATTGATTTTCGATCTTGGGATCGAATATTTTCACCTTGAGGCAATTTCGAGCTTGCACAATTTAAATTGAGACATGCTAAAATGGTGCAAGTCTACAAACTCATGAACTCTCGTTTCTTTTGTGAGTAATGTTTGGCATGGCTCTTGGGTCTTCAAATTTCCATCTAATATTAAAACTAATTGAATATTTTGACTTGGGAAAATCAAGAATTCCACTAGCAATGGTACACATTACCAATGATGTATGCTCATGAATTTTTGAACTTTCGCTCTTTTTATGGTCCCAATTTAATTTTGAAAGAGCTCATGATTAGTCAAAAACTGAGCGCTCTAATGTCAAAATTCAAATACCTGGGGTGTCCCATTATGATGCAGACTGAAGCTACAGTTAAAACCGAATCAACCTTTTGAGTTGATTTTGTTTTAATTGAAAAAAAATGCCATAAGAAATCAGTTGAGACCATAATCAAGTTATTTGGACAAAAATTGGTCCAGTTATGGCAGTTTGAACACAGTGTAAATGGTTTTTTTCAACAATTTACTCTGACCCAAATGTTCCTGTAACACTTTTCAGGCACATACCCTTTTTCTGATAAATATCTCTTTGCAAGATCTGAAACAAGTCGGTTAAGCTGTGTGGTTGTTGAATGACTCAAGACTTAACCATACAAATGTTGCAAAAATCTGTGAATGAATTGGTCTTGCAAAAATGATTGGCAAAGTCCTCTTGGCGTGTTGTTTTTTGATGAGCTCGTATCTCATGCAGCTTTTTATTGTCTCTCAGAGTTCTTTTGTAAATCATTAATTAATCATGGATAAAAACAAAAGAACATAAATTAGTTTGCAGAAAAAGTCCCAAGAAACAATGGAAAGCTGCACTAGATAGAGATACGCATATGTAAACAAGAAAACATGTTCAGCAAAAAATTCGATTTCAATTTCAATTGAATTATTTATTCTTCTTTGGCAAGCATAAAAATTTCATGTATCATAAGAGGAGTAAAGTTTTGTAAATTTGAACTCAAATTTTTTGTGGAAAGTTCGACTTTGTTTTCAATGACCAGTTGATCTTTGTTGACATTCTTTTCCTTTTTTTCTCTTGAGCAAAAAGTTTGAATTGACAAAAATCCAGTGCAATCTATAAATGCCATATTTCTGATCTATGTTTTTTAGATATACTGAGTGAAATTTTGATGAGAAACCAAGTCGTGCATTGACGTAATTTTCTTACTGTTAATTGGTCCACTGAGGTTAAAATTTTGACAAAAGGTACTCCCCAAATTGACTGTTTTTGGTTTTTTAAGGTAAAATACTTTTTTCAGAACATTCTCCTCGTAATTAGTAGCTTGATTGTGGCAGTCTTCTTAAAAATAGAAACTTTCGCAGTGAGTTTCCATACAGAGCCCTTAGGTGGATTATCGCTCAACAATCCCCTCCCCCCCTGAAAAAAATTGATTCAATTTTCCGGCAAACTTAACAATTTATTTAGTAGGAACAGTAATAAATGGATCTTTATGACATTTCTGCGGATGCCAAGATTAATTTTGCTATCATCCAGATTTACATGTCGTAGATGAGGATTTCATTTACTCCTCTCGCAGTGCATATTTTGATTTCCTCAGGGAATTTTTAATGGTTGAATTTTTAGTTGACCTATGAAGTTTATCCGTCCACCGTATTTTCGTTTCAATCCAGTTGTCCTTGGCTTCATAATCACACTTTTCGACTCTGAAAAATATCAAGAAATGATTCTCACATTAAGTTTGAAAGCGACCGTGAAGTAACTTTACATAGTATTTTTGACCTAAGAGTCCTAAAATAATGACAAAACGAAAGCTGATAAATAAAAACAGATAGCCTCTGTTGTTTTAACACCTAGGATTTGTAAACTAAATGTAAATTGTGATAGTAGCCGTATGCATTTGGAATCCCTTTTTTATTCATGAACTCTTGGTTTTTTCATCTAAAGTTGAATCAACACAACTCTCTGAAGTACCCTTAATCAAAGAGGTGAAAGATAGCACTAGCCCCCAATACCTATTTCGAGGTGGCAGTTCTGTTTCCAGACACAAGTGCTTCAAAGGGCTCGTAATTTGCCTCTTATTTCCGTTAGTTCTTTTCCTACGAAGCTTTTAAACTAAACTTGAGGACCATTCGGAAATCCAAGAGGCTAGTGTACACCCAAGATAATAGGTTTCTGCTAATTCTAATCTCGGTTTTATAACTGAACTAGTTTTCTTATTTTACTTTTTTTTTACCATCAAAGTATGATGAGAAGTAACATTCATGGTACATCAGTTCTGACAGCTCTTTGTTTGATTTTAGAGGAATTTTCGCTGTTGTACCCTCATGTGAATGCATGAAAGAGCAACTTCTGATTTTCTGAAACCAACGAATTTTGATATCAATCAGTAATTCCTAATCCAAATTTGGAAGGAGAAAAAAGGTATTGCATTTTGCAAACAAAAAATCTTGGCGCTTTCTCCATCCTTGAGAAAAAGTCTAGATTACTGTCCCCACCTTCAAGAGAACCTTAATTTCTTCTTCTTTTTTTTGCATTTTTAAATTTTTATTAAAAAATGTAACTAATTCAGGAACTATATGCCTTCAGTAAAATTACAAAGAACTCACCAGCACGTAAATTAGTAAAAACGTTATTTTACGTGCAAGTGAGTTTTTTTTTTAAATTTTACTGATCATATGTCTTGTGCGGGTCTTCAAACATATCATTGACTATATGCCTTGTATCCACCATTATGAATTAAATTTACAAAGGTATTAAGAAATAAATTAGCATTAGATAATACAGATTATCTAGAAGGCCAGGAATTGTGGGATCCTCGGTCATTTGTTGAAAGGATTTTTTCTTCCTTTTCATCGAAAAAAAACATTAATACAAGTGTAGAAAATGCTCAAACTTGCAAGTCCCGGCTTACTTGTGGCGAGAGGCTTGTAAGAAAATTTCTTTTTCAACCAAAAATTGAGAGGAAAAGCAGGAAAGCCCTGGTTCTTGAAATTTTTCTCCTTAAAACGTACTTTTCTTATTTTTGCACTGTGAAGAAATTTTGAGGCTGAAGATGCAAATAATTTTTGTTCTTAATAACTTTCTTCCGTGCTTAAGAGAGATGATTTCTTTACTCTACAAATTAGTGCTGTAATTATTGATCAGTAGTGAGCAAGAGAAAATATGAACCTCAAATTTCTGCAACTCAAGCTGTGAGAAATGCGAGTGTGAAACTCTCTGTTCAGCCATACAAGTAAGACATAAAAAATTCCCAGAAGCCACCCAGTAATCTTGAGCGTCGAGAGCCTCTCCACATATTGTACATTCATCTATATTGTATGGCTGGCATTTGACTAACACATGGTGATTGAGTCTCTTTTTGCCTCCGAAACAATGAGAATATTGTAAGCTCTGTTTTCGAATGATCCCATCATAATATAACCCAGCCCTAAACAACAGAAAGAAGTGGTAATGATTAATAGGTCAGGGGCATTAATTTTTTTAATTCATCTCCTGAAAGTATGGAGTGAACTAAGCTACTAGAAAATATCAGCATTTTTTAAAACCCAAAACTGCGAAGAAGCGCTGTTTTGACACTGCCAAAATGGGACCTGTTTGAAACAATATTTGCAGCAGGCTGTAATGCTGTAGCCAGGTGGGAGGAACAATGTTTGTACTGCTTTTAACAGGAAAGAACCAAGCCGCTTCAGCTATTACCAACTTTAATGAGGCAATTTAATTTTTTACAATAGAACGTTTGTGCGGATTTCTCTGAAAATTTGAAGGAATTGGCCTCGTATTATGCAAAAAATTCAGTGACATTTACACAAAAATCCACACAACCGGTTTCATGATTAAAATTAAATTGCCCAGTTAAATTTGGCTATAGCTGATATGGCTTGGTTCCTATCCGCTTAAAGCGGTCCATTTTCACTTGCTTATTGGAGCAAACGTAAGATGTCAAACCATATTTTGAAAAACAAGGAAATTTAGGAAATTCTTAGCCTTTTTGTGAAAATATTTCTAATATAATTTCACATTCTTTTTCATGTTTGAAAACGTATAGCAATTTTTGAGAAAATCTTTCCCTTTCCTCGGCTGTTTCTTTTAAATTGTCAGCGGCCTGATTATCGAAATTATGTCAGCCTGACAAGACAAGACACAGTCCTTTCTTAACCATGAAATACATTGCAATCCGATGTCTTATCGGGCTGCTTTAAACTTTCAATAATCGGCCCGCAGTTCAGAGACATTCAGAAGCTTTTTATCAGAATACCACAAAAAATTGGCACAACAAGTCCTGCACCCCTTTATCGTAAGATGACTGAAAGTTTTTTGTCAGGAGAAGAGATATGTGGTTTTATTCATTTATAATTTTATGAAAAAGCATCTTACTCTGGGACGGAAGACCGTTTGGACCATTCAAACGGTTTGTACTGTGCTCTGAAAGGCCAGGTAAAATCATTGGTTCTCCTTGGAGATTGGCAGCAGATGTCTGGACTGTACTCGTAGATACTTGGAATGCCAGAAACTTTTGGCTTCTTCTCTTTGCCTGCCTCAGTCTCTCCTGCAAATCGCTGTGCTCTTCGTGCTAAACCCCCATAGCCACTCAAACTGCAATACTAGACGTTAAAAGAAACCTCTATTAAAAGCTCGGTTAGAAGATGATTTCTCATCATGGCACTCATTTCCTCTTCTAATTATTTCTGCGCAGCAAAGAAACATGGGACTGTATCGTTATAGGCTAGCAATCCCGCGGACCCCAGCTGGTGACTCTGCCTGAAAGAGGGGTCGGGGATGGTAATCGGCTTTTAGGCGTAAAAACCACCCATAGCATGGCAGCTTTGGCTTTTAGATTTTTTTCTTTCTTTTCAACTCTTCATTTGATATTTATTCTTTTTCAGTAATTAATATTTTTCCATTATTATATATGCTCTTAAACTAAAAATATTTTATATCCAGGCAGAATATTAGGGGGAAGTATAAGATGGGACATGAAATAAATTTTTCTTTACAATGAAAAATGCACATTTTGTACTAATTATACTAATAAATTGGTGTATTTAGGCCATAGCTCCTAGTTATAGTGAAGGCAACCAATCTAGGAGAGCGTACTTTGAATTCAAACTCTGGCCCTCCAAGTTGGGGGTTGAATCATAGGGCTGACTCTCCGATACTTGTGAAAAACTTCAATGTTAAACGACCTAGCCTGAACGCCCCCTTCCTGAAAAGTTCAAGAATTTATTTTCTCATGAAAAGACCGAAGAATCTGATTTATCATTGTCTGATTCCAGTAAAAATTTAGACAGAAGTGCTATTGAAGGCCTAAAAATTATTATTGTTTTACCTGCGGGAACAATTCTTCACATTTAACATCGTATTTCCCGGGTCCAAGTTGTGGGGCATTGAAACTGCGTTTGTCGATAGCTAATCTTGAGGTTCCATAATTGAAAGGGTTGGCGCAATCCCTGATTCCTGACGAACCAAATGCCAAGCGACCGCGCCCATCTTTCACTCGGTAGTTGAAATCTGAAAATTCATCGAAATTGTCAGAAGCCTGATCATGTATCCAAGACGGATTCGTAGCCCTTATTTTAATCGTCAATAAGATTTTTTCATTACTGAGACATGTTTCATTCATTTTAGAGAAATTCCTAGAAAATGAACTAAGATCATTTTGGAAAAAATTTAATATTTAATAGGTAAATATCATAGAAATAAATTTGAAGAAAATTACTATCGTCCCAAGTAACTGAACATTTCATAAAAATTAAAGATACTCAAAAAATATAGGTACAGATGTTACTATCCCTGAAGAAAGAGACTCGAGTGCCTGAAAATTGAAAATGAGGTTTCTGTTACCATCTCTCGGAGAGATGTTTTCTGGACATAAACTTCCAACCAATCGAGAATTATGACTGATCCAAATTCATAGCCAAAATATGAAGTTTTAATGAAGGTATTCTAAATTCTAATTTTCCATATTTAAGCTTAAAATTGCCACATTATACAACTGAATACCTTTTTTGGCATAAACTGAACCGAACTAGTCGCGACAACCCTGTGGAATACCAGCCACCGTTTTCTTTCGAAAACTCTATTTTGATTACTCTCCCCCTCGTCTTAATAAAAATGAAATTGCTCTCCCGGAAAATGTTTCTCTGTGTGGTGAGGTTTTTTCTCCCTTGTGCAGATAGCAATATCAAAAGAAAAAAAGAAATTCGAAATGCCCAAGAAATAAAATATATATACCATCAAAAATGAAGAGTATCTGAAAAAATTAAAAACCTCAGCAAATTAAAGACCCTTATGAAAATATTTAACATTTTTGAAAAATTCAGTTGCATAACAAAATTTTAATTATAAGTAGGTACTAGAATAAGTCTTATAATGAAGAGGAGGAAAAAATAAAAAATTTGATCAACTTTTTTTTTCATTCGTCTTTTCATTTTTAATGCTAATTTTCATTAATCGCAAATCTTCAGTATAGAGAGGAAAGGTTGTGGATCAGGTTAAGCTGGAAGCAGTGGACGTTTGAACGCTTGAAACTCGCATGGAATAGGCAAAAACATAGAGACACCTATGAAAATGATGAACACTTTTGAAAATTAAAAAAAAAATCATCAGGATGCTTTATTATAAATCGTGTATTGAAGGAGAGGAAAAATTCATAGTAAAATATGAAAATTTTCTTTTTAACAATTTATGAATTTTTAAAGATATTTGAATTAATTTCAAATCTTGAGTATAGAAAGGGGAGGTTCTGGAATAGGTTGAGCTGGAAGCAGTGGTCGTTTGAACGCTTGAAAGTAGCATAGAACAGGCAAAAACATAGAGACACCTACGAAAATGTTGAAATTTTTTGAAAATTAAAAAAAATCATTAGGACGCTTTATTATAAATCGTGTAATGAAGAAGAGGAAAAAATTAGTTAGGTATAAAATATGATAATTTTTTAATGAATTTTTAAAGATATTTGAATAAATTTTAAATCTCGAGTATAGAAAGGGGAGGTTCTGAAATAGGTTAAGCTGGAAGCAGTGGACGTTTGAACGCTCGGGACTGGCATGGAAAAGGCACACATCGCGGACGGCGGAACTAGCTCCGCGGAAAAAGGTGCATAAGTATGTACAACACTTTGGGAGTGCATGGGGAGGCTAAACAGAATGCCGAACGAATGACGGGTGAACGTGAACGACCGAGCGAGCAATAAAATTCAAATGACGGTACCAATCATGTGACACAGTCAACGACGCGGCAGCCGAAACTGCGATCATTTCACAAGTTATTGCCCGCGGAAAATCACCCCGGCACGTTTTAAACTCCCCTGGAGCCCTCGGCCCGCGCCACAGGAAAGGGGAGGGGGAGGGGGAGTGCACGCTCCAGCCGTGAGCAGGACAGAATGCCGTATCAACATTTGCACGGTGCCGAACTTCCTCTGAAATATGTTTGGGGACGTGGGAATACGTGTCTCTCTAGTCCATGCTGTCCAGCGGGCTGATTATTGAAATTGATAGACAAAGCTATAGATAAAGAAGACGTTGGGTGTATGGTGCGATCCTATTGGTTGAAATGGGTGGTGCCTATAGACTAAGAGAGAAAATGATGGACTAACTATCGGGTCTCTCGTGGGTTGCCATTAGTCTATTCCCTACCTCTTTTATCCATTGCAACCACCCGCCTCCATCAATAAAATCTCCCCATGGGTATCTTCTTTGTCTATAGCTTTGTCCATCGATTTCAATAATCGGCCCGCAGGACCTGGAAAACCCGAGATGCCTTAGGGAATGAGGAGTATCCGGGAAGATCAGGGAATGTGTTAGATAATTGGTGTTAAGAACCATTCGAGGGGCTTGGAGGACAAGGCGCATAAAGTGCAGTTTTTGCTACCTACTTCAAGAAATACGTGTTTGAAGTTTCGAAATCCCATGGATCTTTCTGGCGAAAATATAGTTCAAACTGATGTTTTGATGCTAAAAAAATTTAGCGAATTTGGGATTTTAGGAATTTGGGAGCGAATTTTTCGCAAAATGTGCATTAGGACCACTTTTTCTTGAAATCATTAATATCTCAATATTTTTCAGAACTGCTTGTATGCGCCTTGTCCTCTAAGCCCATCATTCTTCTCTCGCTGCTCCGAGTTGAAATTATTCTTAAAATTGGCTGTCAGTGTTGACTAGGCTTCGTAATATAAGACGAAAGATGAAAAAGTTGAGATTCTAAAAAATGCAGAATTTATAACCGCACCTCCCCCCCCTCCCACAATCCCCCACACACTCATAAAATCAGGATTATTGAAAAGGAGAAAACATTTTTATAAACATTTTTAAAATATTTTTGTGCTTCTTGGGATTCGCATATCTCAACTAAATGTCTGAAAATGTCATGGAAAAACAGTATGTACCCGTTTCGTTTGCGAAAAATAAATATTTTATCAGGAGGAAACTTGGCAACATTCGATTGCTCATACGGCGTTCTTCCTTAGCCGGGCACTCGGGCAGCATGCATGACAGGAGGAACTGGGATGGCGGAAAAAAACTGGAGCATGTGAATCGGTCGATGACTGAGGCCACCATGTTCATTATCCGATGCAACCAGGAGTGCAAGCATTCCTCGTAGACCTTAGGGCTCATGAGATAATCGGCTTGTTGGGTTTTGACGCAGACCGATTCGTATGCCTACACACGAAACATTGGGAAGTTGACGAGTATTAAAAAGTACACGGCGGCCGTTTATCGTTTTCGTTGATCTGTGCACCCGTTGCTCGCCCAGGGAAAGTTCGCCTTCAGGATTGCGTGATGCAACCCGCTCCGCCGCACAGTGGATCGAGTCAATCAGAGAGGTCGCAAATGAAATTTTTGACAATAATTGCAAATTTCGATGTTATATTTGTCACATTTTAAATTTTAAGGGGAGTTTCTGAAAGAAAATGGGACCAATGGATCCACTTTTAGAACCTCACAATTTTGTTTAAACGGAGTTAACAGCGTTTAAAGTTTCCAAATTTTGTCCGACCTCTCCTATTGACTCGGTTCACTGTGCGCCGACTGTGCCTCGAGATAAGTTTCGGATTGGAGTGGGAACAGAGCTCTCGCTAATTTCCTGTCGCTCCCGAACGAATCAATTTATTGCCGGCCAATTAGGAGCCTCATCCTCTTGACTTTTCAAGTTTCCTTGTGCTTGAGTACCTATTTTATTGATGGACAAAGCGATAGACAAAAACAGATAGAGAGAAAGTGGAGCGCGATCTTACCGATGGGAGCGAGCGGTTGTAATGGACAATAGGAAACATATAAAACGCTAATTAATTAACAGAAACTCACAAGAGACACTGTAGTTAGCTCATCATTCCTTAGTCTTTAACAATCACCCATTTTCATCTGTAGGACAGCTCCAGTTCAGTGGCGTGGTGTGCTTTGCGATACATCGATTGTTCTGGCATTCAAACATATGGTAAAGAATCGACTATTAAGGATTTCGTTGCGAACACCCTGATTATCGACCCTTTTCCATAGGTTTAAATGGCATAACAATCGATACATCGCAAAGCACGCCACGCCACTGCTCCAGTCCCCTTTCTCCTCTCTATCTATAGCTTTGTCTATAGCTTTGTCTGTCAATGCCAATAATCGGCCCGCTTCTCTTGCATCAGCTCGTCAGTATTGGGCCTTTCCCGCCTGAGCTTTCAAAGACCAGTTCAAACAAACCCTAGAATGCAATGAGCTTCAGAGGGCGCTTTTCAAAAGCTATTAAATAAAAATATTTTATTTGGAGATATTTGGCATCATTCTATCGTTTTTACGGCGTCCCTCAAAAGAAGTTTTTCCTCAGTACGGCAGTGTGTAGATTCTGTACTTTTGTATGACGCGCAAGGAAGTTGCAAACATGCCGAAGCAAGCGAGCAGAAAGCCTGAAAATCAGAGGCGCCTTCAAATGAGGATGATACCAAACCACAATACAGGGAAGTTAAACTATTTGTATCATCATTCGATACACGGCGTTTTGACGAGTGTCCACTTATTGTTAGTGATTTGCAGATGTTGCGACTGATGTGGCGTTGTAAAATCGCGATTTTTTGGACGACACGCGGCAAATCAACATCGAACGTCATCCAAATTTTGAAATTCTGTAATTAGGTATGACGCGCAAGAAAGTTACAAACATGCCGAAGCAAGCGAGCAGAGAGCCTGAAAATCAGAGGCGCCTTCAAATCAGGATGATACCAAACCACAATACAGGGAAGTTAAAATATTTGTATCATCATCCGATACACGGGATTTTGACGAGTGCCCACTTATTGTTAGTGATTTGCAAATGCAGCGACTGATGAGTGATGAGGCGTTGAAAAATGGCGATATTCTGGATGAGCATTGACCACTCGGCAAATCAACATCGGACGTCATCCAAATTTTGAAAATGTGCCTCAGTAATACCTCGATTATCCGCTCATCACTTGGATCGCATCTATAGCAAAAAGGAACCAGCGCAATTACAGTGTTGTAAAAATGTTGCTCCTTCAAAATATCTAA